TTGGTGAGAATCGATTCACATTTAGATATAGCTGCCATTTATATTTCGGGTTATTTGTGCACTAAATTGTCAAAATCAGTCCAAATTACTTGAATTTTGACACATCCGAATTCCGTCTAGAAGCATGTATAGCATTTTCAGATTAAATGAAACCTTTTGCAATTCAAATGAAACTTTTTGCAGCGGAAATGAAACCTTTTGCAGTGGAATTGAAACCTTTTGCAGTGGAAATGAAACCTTTTGCAGTGGAAATGAAACCTTTTGCAGCGGAAATGAAACCTTTTGCAACCGAAATGAAACCATTTGCAACCGAAATGAAACTTTTTGCAAATCAAATGAAACTTTTAAATTTATAGAAGGAAAAATAACAAAACATTTTTATTTTTAGTAGTTTTTAAATTAAATCAATTAATTATAACTAATATATTGACAAAGAGGATTTTTTATTGATTATAAATATCTACATTGATTTATATTATTTCTTAAATTTTCAATTATTGTAATAACAAATGGTTCTTTATTGATTTGATATATAGCATTTTCAGATTAAATGAAACCTTTTGCAATTCAAATGAAACTTTTTGCAGCGGGAATGAAACCTTTTGCAGTGGAATTGAAACCTTTTGCAGTGGAAATGAAACCTTTTGCAGTGGAAATGAAACCGTTTGCAGCGGGAATGAAACCTTTTGCAACCGAAATGAAACCTTTTACAACCGAAATGAAACTTTTTGCAAATCAAATGAAACTTTTAGATTTTTAGAAGGAAAAATAACAAAACATTTTTATTTTTAGTACGTTTAAAATTAAATTAACTAATTATAACTAATATATAGTTAAAGAGGAATTTTTATTGATTATTAATATTTATGTTTTTATAAAATTTTTTCTTAAAGCTTCCATAATACACAAGAGTAGATGCAGAAAGATTGAAAAACGTTTTTCAAGGTAGTTTTTTCAAAGGACCCGAATTAGGTATCTTTTTATAATCTCCTCCGTGGAAAGGAGGATATATTAAATTATCTGTCTTTTGAAATCACGACTGCTCTATCTCCATAATCAATAAAGCTGCGAAGCGGGAATCCTTTATTAGGTAAGATTAATAGTATACTATAACTATAAAAAATTGTGGTAAAGCTTAATTTCACATTTCAGTCCTGGCCATACCTATAAAGGGCAAAATTTGTTTAAATTTCTCTTTTTAGCGTTAAGCATTTGGAATTTAATAATATGGAAGCATTTTATATCAAATCAATAAAGAACCATTTGTTATTACAATAATTGAAAATTTAAGAAATAATATAAATCAATGTAGATATTTATAATCAATAAAAAATCCTCTTTGTCAATATATTAGTTATAATTAATTGATTTAATTTAAAAACTACTAAAAATAAAAATGTTTTGTTATTTTTCCTTCTAAAAATCTAAAAGTTTCATTTAATTTGCAAAAAGTTTCATTTCGGTTGTAAAAGGTTTCATTTCGGTTGCAAAAGGTTTCATTCCCGCTGCAAAAGGTTTCATTTCCACTGCAAAAGGTTTCATTTCCACTGCAAAAGGTTTCAATTCCACTGCAATAGGTTTCATTCCCGCTGCAAAAAGTTTCGTTTGAATTGCAAAAGGTTTCATTTAATCTGAAAATGCTATACATCGAATTTGATGTTTAAGTCACTCACATTCGTAATATACACCCTACAAGAATGATATTCGGTGCCAGATATCAGATACAGCCCAGAAATACCTCTGCCAAATTGTATCAAGATCAGTTCCAATTTGGATATAGCTGCCATATATATCTTTAACCGATTTCGGGCTAAATGTCCACCAAATGGCCAATATCATTTCAAATGACCTGAATTTGGCACATCCGATCGAATTCAGTTTAGAAGGAAGTACATCAAATTCGGAGAAAATCGGTGCAGATATAGCACCCCACAAGAATGATGATTGGTTTCAGATATCAGATACAGCCCAGAAATACATCTGCCAAATTGTATCAAGAACGGTTCAGACTTGGATATAGCTCACATATATATCTTTAACCGATTTCGGGTTAATTGTGCACCAAATGGCCAATATCAGTCCAAATAACATGAATTTTGGTACATCCGACCGAATTCCATCTAGAAGCAAGTACATCAAATTTGGTGAAAATCGGTTCAGATATAGCGTTAGCTTCCATATATAAGTTTCATCCGATTTGGTGTTTAAGTCCATCACATTCCTAATATGCATTCGATAGCAATGATATTTGGTACGAGATATCGTATAGAGCTCGGAAATACCTTTGCCAAATTTTATCGAGATCGGCTAAGGTTTGGATATTGCTCCCATCTATCCCTAACCAGATTTCAGGTTTCTTGCGCAAATTATGGCTAATATCGGCCTAAATTGAGTGAATTTCGGGACGTACGATGCCATTTGTTGGAACTCGGCTCCTGTATATTTTTATACCCTACAACACTATGTGTTGGGGGTATTATAAGTTTGATTGGGCCAAAAATTATGTAACACCACGAAATATTGATTTTCCACATAGGAAAGTATATATGGATCTTCCTATCTCGCCGAGCTGAGTCGATCTAGCTATGTATGTCCGTCCGTCCGTCTGTCCGTCTGTCCATGTTAATTTGTAATCACTCTACAGGTCGCAATTATAGTCCGATCTTCACGAAATTTAAAATGGAGGTGGGGCTAGGGTCAGAATAGAACCCTATTTCTTTTGGTGATGATCGCATAATATTTGAAATGGACCAAAAACTGAAAAAAATCCTGATTTTGCACTTGCTCTACAGGTCGCAATTATAGACCAATCGACGCGGAATTTCGCATGTAGCTAGAGTTTAGGGCTGGCAAGAAGCCTACCCATTTGGGTGGTCATCGGATAATATTTACCGGGTAAAATAGACCAAATCTTTTTTGTTGAAAAAACTCAAAAATTTTCATTAAACCGCGAATATTTTAAATCCCGGCGAAATCACAAAGCCATGACAAGGTTACTTCTGATCTTTACATTGATGTTAACATCCAACAAAACGGATATATAGCAAAATATGTGCGATATATATGTATATCAAAGAAGATATGCTCCAAAGATTTCTTATATGTCGAGAACGGCTGAACTGATTTCAACAGTTCTCATTAATTCAGAATGGCCTCTTGGCAGGAAAGAAAAAACGTCTAAAAAATCGCATAAAAATATCTCTCTAAAGATGAAAATATTGATTTTGTAAAATTTTCTCATATTTTTTCAATTTTGTCATATTTTTGGCATATTTTCATTTTGAATTAAATATTTGGTAATATTTCTACAGCTAACAAAACTAAGTAGTTAGGATATCAGGATATCATATACAGATCGCATTTATGGCCCGATCCTTACGAAATTTTGCATGGAGATAAGATGAGGGTCAGAATAAAAGCCTATTCTTTTTGGAGATGATCGCCATATATTTAGGGGTTGAAATGGACCAAAAAACTGCAAAATTGTCAGCAGGTCGTAATTATGGGGGTTACCGGACATTGCAAAAGCCAAGCAGTTTTGGATGGCCATCCAAAAATATTCAATGTGTGAAGGAGTTTGCCAACTTTTATAGCCAAAATACGAAAATGTCCATTCCAGTGACTTTTTGGAGAATTCACAAATACAGGAAAGACGCACTTCTGACTATTTCGTTAACGCTGATTTCGTTGAAGGATATAGTCAAATGTTTGTATCTCATATAGATGCGTTTCAGTCAAAACCCAATAATAAATGTTAATTTTTTGCCACTTCTGAGAGATTATAGGTCTTTGGGAAATATTGGTTCCAGATCTAGGAAGACCATTTACGTGCAACATCTACCAATAAATTGGAAATGAGCAGATTAGTTTAAGTTGCTATTATTCGAAAATTAGAGAACGAAACCTGATGGTTTTCTTTTATTATTTGTCACAATATCTTGTGGAATTCTTTCGAGTATCTCGCCTATATAAACTGTATCTTTTATTATAGTGTTGTAGGGTATTCAACGGTCGGCCCCGCTCGACTGTAGCCTTTGCTTACTTGTTTTAAATATAATTCTTCTTGAAGTGATATCATGTACTCTATAGCAATGTTAGTTGGTATAAACGTCACATTTAGTGAAAATAGATTTATAATTGGATATGCCTTCCATATTTTAGTTCCATCTGAAACCAAATTATAACTGCTATGAAGCCAAATGTTGATAGGTGGTATGATCTACTTCAAATAAATTATTTTATTACTGGAGCTCTACTAAATATACATATGGGTTTAGGGTATCATATAGTCGGTCCCGCCGACTTTTGACTTTTCCTTGCTGGTTTTAGTATCTTTTTCTAGATTTAATTTTTGTTTACTTTAATACCATTCTGGATTGGTGAGAATTGTCAAAATCTGTCCTGCTGTTCTAGAGTTATCAGCGGTCAAACAAACGTCCCATTCTTTGGTATATGAGATTGTATTTATTTTGCTTGGATATCAGCGTCCATGTAGCGCTCAGAGGAGACCTTTTCATGTATTGGTGATTTGGCTAAAATTAAAAATATACGCGTTCGTAATTTTTAACGGCTGATAGGCTTCAGCCTAGCCCTAAACTCTAGCCCCGATTAAAATTTCGAGTCGTCTAAAAGTGTGACCTCTAGACCAACAGCAAAAACAAGAAATATATCTGATATTGGTTCATTTCAACACCTAAATATTTAATCGATCATCTTTAAAAACAGGCTTCGATTCCGAACTTAACCCCACCTCCATACAAAATTTCTGGAGCATCTCGGACCAATATTTCGAGGTGTTACATAATTTTTGTCCAATTAAACTTATACTACCACCAACACACAGTGTTGTAGGGAATCAAAACAAGAAAAGAAAATGTTTTTATGTTATCTTCTTTTATTTGAAAAATTGTTTCTTCTTTGTATAAAAAATATATTATATATAATATCGTAGTTTTTTATAAATACTTTTTTGTTCTTAAACAATAAACGACTTAGATTTGTTTGGGTTTGAAATTTTTAAAATTCATTATCTTATCACTAAATGTTTAAGTTTTTAATTATTTACAAGTTTTTTGTTTTTAAATAAATAAATATGGAATGTTTTACAAAAATATTTTAGCAAGAAATATATATAAAAAAATATTTTCAATTTTTGTTTTCTTATTTTAAATGTTTAACTATCACAAATTGTGGGGGTTTGTTTTTTTAATATATTTTCTTTGGTCTTTGTTGTGGGGTTTTCTTTGTTTATTTTAAGTGCCGAGTGTTAATAAATGTATGAGGTTGAATTTTGTACTTAGATTATTTCTGGGCACTTCAAAGCTATCATTGCCGTTGATAAATTTTATTTTATGGGTCATGATCTTTTAAAACTTTTACTGTAGACCATTGTCCATTTCTAATTTAATTATAGGATTGCTTGAAGAACTTGAAAAATTTTCTGATTTTATTCGAGTTTATAGGATTGTTTTTTTTTTCAAAAACTCAGTAGTTCAAATTTCATTCATAGTGGCATAAATTATTCCATTTATTTTAACGCTTTTTGGGAGCTTTTGAAGTTGTATTCGTGCTTTTCACAAGTTTATGTTAAGAGTTCACAGAACATTTTTCAAATATGGTTTTTAAATATTTTTGAATAAAAAAAAATTATGTTATTTTGTAGTCTTGTAATAAACACTTTTGGTCCTTCGATCTATTGATCGGGTTGAAAAGCTTTAAATCCACACCTATTGAATCGCAAGAGAGAGCTTTTTATATTGTTCCTTTGAAACAAGTTTAGATACATCTTTTGGGGTTTTAAGTTTTTTTTTTTTTGATAGTAGAAGAGCTTTTGTAGTTACATAGATGTTTTTGTAGTTAGATATTTTCTTCAGAAAACCCTTTGTCCTTGATGTATTTATACAGCTTTTGGTCCTTCAAGGCGTTTCATAAATTTATAAAGCTTTCTTGGAAATAACATTGTTCTTTCGTTGTTTATAAGGAAACAGCTTCCCCTCTCTTAATTTATCTCTCTCTCTCTCTCTCTTAGGCCTTCTAATGTAGTTTTTTTCTCTCGGTATTTCGGTTTCCTGTATGCTGTTTCTTCTTATAGTGATTGATTTGTTAGACAATGATATGTCAAATCCGGGAATTTTTAGACCATTCCCTTTCTCTCACACTCTCTTTCCCTAGTAAGCCATTTCGGCACCCCATGGCCGATAGGGTTTTGAACCATTGGCTGTGACATAAACACCAGTCTGATGATTATATTCCTGGGCCACACTGACCGGATATTGGGGTGGCATGGCGGTATAACCCAATGCTGAGGCCGGAACGGCTGAGGGCACCTGACGATGCCCTGGATGGACATGGGCATTTGTTAATTCAATATATGTGGCACCTTGATGATCCTGATGAGCGGCAGCACTGTGATCATGGGAGTAGTGATGATGAGCGGTGGTTTGTTGTTGTTGTTGGGGTTGAGATTGTTGTGTTTGCTGGAGATGTGTTTCATGTGAGGTGGGTGTGATTTGGGGATGTGCTGCCACACTTTGTTGTTGTTGCTGCTGTTGAGTTTGTGATTGTTGTTGTGCTTGTTGCTGGCTCTGTGACTGCTGTTGCTGCTGCAGAGGTGAGGTCACCTGTCTTGATGTGTGATTTATCAAACCATGGCCATCTTGGGCGGAACCCACCGAATTGGACCGTACATTATGTTGTTGCTGTTGTTGTTGCGAATGCATGGCATTGTTGGGTGATGAACTCAAACTGGGATACTGATGCAGGGCCGAGGGTAAATTGGGCACATATGAGGAATTACTATGACTGGTGGAGGTGTGAACTGTTGCAGACGAACTGCTTGTGGCCGAGGTATAAGCCTGATATGGAGCCACTCCACAGTTGGGTTGATACGACGAGGCAGCGGCGGCAGCTGCGGCACTGGGATGTACCGTCCATGGTGTGGCTCCTGGCGTGGCTGTGCAATTTTTCAACGACATTTCACGTTGCTGAACAAAATATTGCAGGTGGGACATCAAACGCAGGCGTAGGGGATCCTGAATATCCATACCCTCGATGGTAACCAAATAACGAGCCACTTCGGCGGCACATTCACGAAAGCCAATAATGTGATAGTCCATGGCAAATCTTTGAGGATCATAGCCCAAGGCATCGGTTCCTGGAGAGCAAAAAGGAGAATGAAATGGGAAAATTTAATAACAAGTTCAACAATTATGTAAATCTGTTTAATGATGAGATTAAAGGAAATCAACATTCCCACGAACCAAAACCACCACCCCTTTTACCCTTATAATTAATTACCACACACATACAAACACAGAGAAATCTAATAGGATTTTTATGTCCCGTTAGTAAGCAAAATATAGGGGTGGCACGTGGTATGGGAATCTTTTTCGCCGAGGATATTTTCACACGGCAAAGCCAAGTGCATTTAGTGACTTCTTTTTTCAATTCAATTTGGAGGGGTGGTAATGCTCAGTGGTGGTCATATCATAGTCATCATCCTTTATCGCCCACCATTGTAAGCGTGAGATAATTGTTTGAATATTTGTTGTAATAATAACAAACACAACAACCAGTGTCAATTTAGTGCTTAAAGTGTGGGAATTGTTTTTCAGGTTATTTTTAGTTTGGTGGAAAAGTTAAGAGCTTCCTTTTGTTGTTTATTTGTGTGTTTTTTTTTTTTTGTAGTGGAGGGGGAATTGCCATGGGATTTGATAGGATTTTGGCGTGGGAATTTATTCTGATTGGAGTTTGAGGAGACAATTTTATATTGATTAATGGAAATTAGTGAACAATTTGCTAATGATAAAGTGGAGATTAAAAAATTCTTTAAAATTTTTAAATTCAAAAAAGATACTTTTTTTAAGATTTTTTTATGAAATTAGAAAAGGATACATTTTTTGAAGACTTTATATAAAATTAAAAAAAAAAAATCCAGAAAAAGGTATTTTCAAGTGGAAAAAAAAATTCCGATCAGAGGAAACTTTTAGAACGTACAATTCTTTAAGAATTTCAATTGTGGAAAAAAATTTTAATTGAAATTCCTCCACTGGGATACTTACTAAAAGCGATTTTTTTTGTAATTTAAAAAAAAAACTATTTCAGAAACTGGAAATTTTATTTTTTTTGAAGTATTCCTTTTGAGAAAAATTTTCGATTTTGCAGAAAATGTTGGAAAATTTATTAAAAATGCTCTAAATAAAAAATGCATTTTTTATTTTAAAATAAAGTGAGCATTTAAAAAAATATTTCCCTTTGACCAAATTAAATTTAAACAAATAAAAATGTAAAAAAAATTAACCACTTGGCCACTTTTTTCAATTCCGCAAAATGTCACAGCTTGAATTGAAGTTGAATTTTTTTAAAGAAAATTTCCTTCTGAGAAAATTTCCGAACATTTCCGTAACATTTCCATAACAATTTCTACATTTTTTTATTTCCGAAAAGATTTTCACTTAGATTTTTTCTAAATATTCACAGTTTTTCCACATATTGTGTGTAAACGGTCAAATTTCGGTTTTTTTCAATAACAGGAAATTTCTTGGGTTTCATATTGGTTAAAAATTGCACTGAGTTTTCATTTATTAAAATTTCAATTTAGTTTCAAATTTTTCTTGAGTTTTTTTCTATTTATTTTTCTAATTTTTTTATTTAAGTATTTTTTATTCCCTTTCGTAGACTGTTGATTTCTTTAATCCTTTAATTATTTTTTTTTTTCGTTTTTTAAAAATATTTACCTTTGGCTTGTAAATTTTTCAAATGTTCCACTGTCAGCTGTAAAATTTCGGCCTTTTCCAATTTAGAGGAGCCCTGTTTCTCATAGGCTGAGGGCACCAAACGTTTGAGTTCACATAGCGAGGAGTTGATACGATCGCGGCGTTTTTTTTCAATAACACCACGACGCTTTTTGCGGCTCATCATTTGGCAACTGCTGCCATCGGCGGGGGAAATTCTAAAAAACAAAACAAAAGAAAATATTAATATTAGATTCCATTTTCATAAGTCCTTCATCATAGAATTCCAATCAGAATAAAAAAATCCAATTTTTTTTTTTAAATCTCTTCTGAAAAAAAGAATACGTACTGTTCCTTGGACGACTCCTCGGAATATAAATCTTCACAATCACTTTCCGATATGGCCCGTTTAAGTGAGCCGGACTGTTGCTGTGGGGGTGGTACCCAGTGATTTTGCGGCGTAGTTGGCACTGCGGCGGCGCCATAACTCCAATGCAAGGCGGCATTATTGTGATGCATATTGAGATTGTGATCCATTTTTAAGAATTTCCTTTTTTTGTCAAAAAATTTTTCAACTAAAAATTGTTTTTTTTTTTCAAACTTTCACTTCACTTTGTTGATGATATTTCAAAAATTTTGTTAAATTTATTTTTCAATATTTTTGTTTATAATTTTTGTTTAAAAAACAATTTCTTCTTCGTTGCGTATAGTTTGTTCTTCCGTTGTTTACCGGAGCTAGTTTAGAGCACGTGACTTATCGTGTGCAAGAACGACGTTCGACTGATTTTGAAACGCATGTCCAGCATGTGCCACAACTCAAACTCTAGCGAAGTTTCGGTCTGTGTTCCATGGCAATGCACCAATAAAATCAGAACTTATCGAAAACTACCCTCCTGAACTAAACAACCCCCCCAAATAAACGGCAAGGCAATGCAAGGTAATATGCTGCTAAGGGTTAAGATTCCATCATGATCTTTAGAGAGAGCGAGCGAGAGAGAGAAGGAACGCATGTGAGCAGGAAAGGGAAACAAGTTTAACACGGTGGTTTATTTAATGTCCTGGTGGCGGCAGCATTGCTCCAAACTATGTTTGTGGCCATAAACGAGCAATTATACAACTTATCATACTCATACAAGTGCATTTATGCTCTTCGTTTCAACTTCGGCTATGTTCGTTGTCTACACACAAATACAACAATACTGTTTACATTGGACCTCAGCAAATTCTTTGTTTGGAAGCGTGCCTTGCTGCATCACAATGGAGCGGCGCTTATCATTTGCATTGCATCATCGTGTGGCTTTTATCTCTCTTCAAGCTGAAATGACATTGTTGCACGTTTGCGCGTTTTGCCACTTGACAAAAATGTTTGTCAACAATTGTCGGCTTATAGGTGTTGTTCCTATGACCGCCAGAATTGCCATTGCCGCCGCCGTCGTCGTCGTCTGTTTTTATTGTAAATTTGTTAGATGCTTGTCGTCGCTGTTTTGTCCCAATGAATGAATGAATATGGAGCACGCGTTCCAAACTTATGCTGGTCGTGTGTGCCCCCAACAAGTGCATCACATGCCCGATGGGCGGTTTCATATGGAAATCTGTTATAGGTCATTGGCCGTCATTGAAGGTGTCTTGGATAGGCCGACGCATGCCGCCATCACACCGCCTGTGGCGCCCAATGTTTATTTACACTTTGATATGTAGGTCAGAATTGCCGATGGAACAGGTGATTTTCTTCTTGGCTCAAAAGTCAATCAGAAATTAGGTGTTGGGGAAGGCTATGGCTGTCGTTACGTCTGGATTGGAATTAATTGACGTTGGCTAATTGTCTACGGATTGCAATGCATTGCTGTTCATGGTTTGTAAAGAGATCAAAAATGAAGGAAAGGTGTATATTTCGTATAATTGTGATGACTGGCTACGATTAAGCCAAAAGCTTTGGGGAGCATAGCTGATTGTTAACCGACATGTCTACAGATTGCGAATAGTGGTTAAACCGGCAAATATACTGCGAAGCTGCGAAATAAATAAAATCAAATGGAGTTATTTTTCTCATCACATCACATTCACATCAATAGCGCCCAATGCAAGAAGACAATGAACAAAAAAGCATATGGGCGAACGGTAAATTACTGTAGTCGATAGGGATCCTTCCATATCAGAATGAGTATGAAGTTCGTTAGAAAATATTCGAATTGGCATATCCTAACATGCCGTTAAGAGAAAATTCCGAAGAGAATGATTCTCAGTCTTTCTTTTTATCACACATTCGAAATGCCCTCCTCACTCTTATTCTAGCGGCATAAAAATAGAGTATACTCAAGTTCCTTTCTTAATCGCAGGAGTACTTCCGCTCGAATTCAAGCGAGCTGCTCTCTCAACTTGAAAAAAAGAAACCGAGTAGGGTAAGTGTGCCTAAGTTCGGCATGTCTCAGTAGTCGGCACTTTTTATTTTTAAGCCCAAATAAATGAAACTATTATAACTAAATGTATTTTGTTTACTTCAAATATATTGCCAGCTAACTTTGTGTACAATTTCGCTAAGAAAAGATGATTTATTCTAAAAAAAATTAAATTTTTGTCTGTAAAGGTCCTCAACAATCCATATTCTTAAGAAAAGTACAATAAAGACGTCAAATCAGTTTAACTAAACAAAAATATTAAATTTTAATGAATTAATTTATTAGTATTATTAATTATTCTTACAAAAAAATTGGTATGCCGACTGTTGGAAAATGCCATACCGACAATTGGCAATGGGGTGCCGACTACTGGCAAAAAAGCATTGTTTTAATAAAACTACAAATTTATGAAATTTAATAAAAAGTTATTAAAACTTTATTTATTATTGCAAAAACTATACAAAATTTCGAATCTGAATAAATTAACTTTATAATAATTGAAAAGTTCCACTCAGAATGGTGAGCGATTAACAATGCGAAAATCCTAAAAGTGCCGACTACTGGTACACTTACCGTATACTCTATTTTATTTATCTAACTCTAATAATGGCGAACAAGATTCACTCATTTTCGAGTGGCAGTAACATTTGCTTGAAATCGAGAAGATACTAAGCAAGTTTAACACGTGAGTAAAAATGGGCTAATCTGAATACAGGGTGAGGTAAAAAACTACAATAAAGTCAAACGTCATAATTTTTACATTTTTTTAATTTTTATTGAATGAAAGCAAAAAATATCGGAAATAGCATCAAATTTTAGAATAAGTTTAGATTTGTTCGAATTGGTAACCTTTGGTACGAATTTTGGCCTTCAAACGGACAATGAAATCGCCACACGCTGCACGAATGTTGCTCTGCGGTATTTTGGTCCATTCCCGGAAATGGTCCCATTTTAGTGCCAACGTGGCTTTTCAAAATACTTCACACACAATAGTGGCCATTGTGCGCTGAAAATGAAGCGAGGAACCTCATTTTGTAACCATTCTTGGGTGGCGCGTGCTAGTGCGATGCTGCTGAGTCCTGTTGTAATGTCCAAGGTCTGCGGCCAAAATGTTTGCGGGCGCAAAGCTTTGATACACCCTCCAGAATATTTTCGCGATAATATACGAGCGGAGAACGTCATCACCATGGCCGGCGCTTGAGTTCTGGTGGCCAACCGAAGGTGCACATTTTCAGCTGACCTCTTTGGCAAGTAAACACGACCATTTTGTTTACATTCTGGTGGACAACGAATGTTTTCTTATCGGAGAAAACCGAATTCGGCAGTTCACCACTTTCGGCCAAGCGAAGCAACACTTTAACTCTTTTCAGTC